AGGAATGAGAAAGGAGAAACAAGATACAGAAGGCATTAAAATACTTTTAAAAGAATGCATGCAACTGTAATGCAACAAACTCAAAAATTTAAAAGAACTGAATGATTTTTAAAAAATCAACTGTTACCAAAGTTGACCTATGAAGAAATGGAAAACTTGAATACTCCAACGAACAGAGCAGACAGTGGGATGATGGTTAAAGGGAACCACTGAAAAAAAACTCTAGAACCTAAGGGTATACAGCCTACTTTTACCTAACCTTTATAAACCAGAGCAGGAAATTCTAATGTAATTAAAGTATTGCAAGCAACAGAAAATGGCAGAAAGCTTCCCAAGGAGGCAGACTGAGAATGAAGTGAATGCCCATCAATGCAGGAATAGCTCGGTAAATTATAGAACATTTACACCATAAATTATTATGTAGCATTTAAGAGAATAAACCACAGTGATACCACCCTGAAGGTAACACTGAGAAGAGCAAAGTTGCAAAATGGTGTATATAATATGATTCCAGTTTTATAAAAACAAATGTTAGGAAACTATCTATGAATACCTACATCTATGCATATACATTTGTATCTAATTATATGAGCACGAAGAGAATGTGGGCAATACACAAGATGCTAATTTTGAGGTGAAGTGGATAGAGTACAGAGGGATGGTATGGGTGGCTGGGGGACAAAAGGGGAAAAATACTGCAATAACTGCCCTCATAGGTTATAACATAGATGCAAAAGTATATTTTGGGTTTGTATTTGTATAAAATTCTAGAAACTAATTTTTGAAAGTTTCAACAGGATTGTTCAGCAGCAAATTCCTTTCTTCTTTCTTTGCTCTTTACAATTTCTTTAATCATCCCCTAGCCAGAAAGATACAGCTTGGATTAGCAATTATCTTCAGTGACCCTTGCAGATGCAAGTGAAATCTCACACCAAATTTCTTGAATGAGTGTTATTTGGGGCTACTCAAAACATCTAAATAATAACATGCTTGGACCTGTGCTTCAGAAAGCACTCGAGGAGCATTTAAATACCTGCTCTCAGGAGCTTGAGACACACAGCATCCAATGAGCAGTGAATGTCAAGTTTACTTTGCAGTATTAGAAATCACATGCTCAGTCTAAAGACTGGGAGTGAAAGCTGGTCTTTGTTTTCCTAGTGAATCGGTACCTGCAGGGCAGCACGCTGCTGAACTTGGCAGAGGAAATGGAAGACGTGACTTGCACACCCTTTCTATGCCAAGGGCATCCCTATGTCCTGGAGTGCCTGGAGAGTTCATCCTCAAACATTGCACCACTCACCCTGTGAGCCCCTAAAATAGTCTAGCTGTGCTCTCATTTAGGGGTGCTAACAATACTTATGGTATCTCCCACTTAGAAGGGCCATATTCTTTAGATGCTATGCTTTGGTTTGGAAAGTGTAGCTCTTCTCTTCTCTAAGCTATTGAATTTGTGTTTGACATTCTGTTTTCAATGACTCTTGTCGAGTTCAAGTGGGCAACGGTGGATGGGGTATTTGAACAGGTGAGGGGAACACTTCTTGATGAAATCCAATTCTTTGCCCATTCCACACTGAACCCGTGCAGCTAAATGTGGCTGGAGAAAAGCACAACCAGGCCGCCTGGTTTCACTTTGAATTCATGGTCACCAACCTCAAATGGAACCTTGATGTTGCCTGGCGAACATACTGTACTTCTCAGGCCTGTTCACTTTCCCATGACCCTAGATGGCCATGTTTCATCTTCTCTCTCCAGCTCTCCAGCACCTCCTGCCCCACGCTCATTCATCGCTGATCTTCCCGAAAAAACAGAAGCGATCAAACGAGAAGCTCGAGTTTCCCCTGGCCGAGCCGTCTTCCTGCCCAGCTAGCCTCCCGTCTGTCCCTCTCACCACCCCTTCCCTCGTACAGTACCAGTCATTTCTCTCCTTCCATTTATGGCTAGATTCTCCCAGAGGGCTGTCAGTATTTGTTCTCTCCAATTTCTATCCCTCCATTTTTCTCTTGACTCTTCTCTAACCCAGCTTTCACCCCACCCCATCCACTAAACTGCTCTTAGAAGGATCTCCAGTGACTTTGATGTTGACAAATCCATGATTAATTGCTGCTCCTCACCCAACTTGGTTGACGAGCAGCATCTGATAGTTTGCCTTTGGAATCTTTCTGGACTAGGCTTCTAGGACCCATAGGCTCCTGGTGTCACTCCTCTACCCTGTTCGGTCTCCTCTGCTGTTTCCTCTTCATCTGTGTAGTGGATTGAATTATGTCTCCCCAAAACTCATTGGAGCTTGACTGTGTCCCCCAAGTTTTATGTATTAGAATCTTAGCCCCCACTGTGAGTATTAAAAGGGTGGGAAATCCTACTATGGTAATTGAAAGGTGGGGCCTTGAAGAGGTGATTAGCTTGCAGGACCGTGCCCTAGTGAATGGATTCAAAATGGTGGTCAGGGGCGTGGTTCTGAGGGCTTTAAGAGAGTCTGTCTGTTTCTCTTTTTGCTCCCTCTGCTCCCACCATCTGCAATGTGAGACCCCTGGGTCACTGTTGCAACCACCAGATGGACTTTGGACTTCCCAGCCTCAGAAACCGTAAGCAATAAATGTCATTTTTCTTTATAAATCACCCAGTTCAAAGTATTTTATTATAAGCAATGGGAACGGACTAACACAATCTACCTAAACTCTAGACGACCACCCCCATCCTGCCAGGGCGTAGCCAGCAGCCTTGGAGCAGTGGGGTGGGCAGCAGCCAGCATCAGGCTGGGCTCTAGAGGGAGGCAAGTGCTGCTTCCTCTCGGAAGGTTAGAGCTGCTCAAGGCATGGGGTTGCCTGGTCATGCGCTTCCCTGGACCAAGTGCATTTTACTGTGAACGTTGTACTGTGTTTGGTATTTGTCACTGGGGAGAGTTCTAGAAGCTATGGAACACCAAGAAACCAGAAGAAAACAAACAGCAACTCCGGGAAGTCAACAAAGCATTTTATTCCACAGGAAGAAAAATAACGACTCTGATATAAGAACCAGATTAAAGAGTCTTAACACATTGGTGATTGCAATAGTGTTTACACGGTGGAGAACCAGATATTTTATCAAGCAGCTACCATGGCATTTTGAGGCACAAATGATGCTTAGAAACAACGTGGCCCTGGAGCCTTCTGAACACTGAGGTGATACCCACCAAGCAGCAAGACACAAGGGGTTGGGGGAGAGGCTGCTCCTCAGTTTCCCATTGTGCAGTGACCAGGCCCGGGCTGGGGTGGGGTGGGAAGCAACACTGGCCTAGCTAGCCTTTCCAGCGGGCAAAGATAGCAGCCACGGTCAGGCTGAGACATGGGTCAGCCAACTGTACTGGGTCAGGGAGTAGGGATGGCTTTTGATGTCTCTTTATCCAATTTCCTATTATTCCATTTATTATACTTTCTTCAGAGAGGGACTGTGTATTTGAGGAAGCATGAAAATCAGTAGGAACTATCAAAGTCTCAGACATCACTGGCTAAATACCAATTTAAAAAGAAATGGGGCATTCAAGGAGCCAGGAGCAGGGCCTGCTTCCTCCAGAGCTTTGGGTTTTTTCCTGGTGAGAACCATGAAACTATGTCAGAAGTCCCTGAAACCTTATCACCATGCCTGGCACAAGGGCTGCAGGGGAGCTCAGAAGGTCTCAGATGAGCCCCCATTGCACACTCAGTCCTGTCCCATTTGGTCTTTAGATCCCATTTTAACATCTGCCTCTTCTGAGGCGCAAATGTCAAAGTGAGCAGTTGTACAATCCCAGGGGACGGGCAACTATTTAAAGAGTGGATTAAAATTAGAAAGGAACTGGAAGAGGGCATCTGAACACCCCTCTGGAGTCCTCCTGAAGCACCAGCCACAGGGCAGCCCTCAGCTACCTTCCTGCAGTCAGGCAGTGGCTTACTGATGACAGAAGTCACAAGCCAAACTTGAAGGGGTGCAGGAGACAGGCTGGTGAGGAAGACTGGGAGGAGTGAACCCTCAGCTGTTCTGCTGCGGAGCTTGCGCACGAGTGCTGACAGTCATGACTACCACCTAGCAGGAAACAACCAACCAACCAACCAAAAACCCACCCGACCCTGTAACAGCCAAGTTTCAATTCTGCAATCCACTAAGTTGGAGTTCAGAGAAGACTATCCAAAGGTTGGAGTTCAAGATGACTCCAAAACACTATTTCGCTGAAGTATTTGTGCTAAAGCTCCCTTCCTTCCTCTTTGAACACATACACAGACACGGGGGGAGAAGTGGCAGAGAGGGAGGATGAGAGATTAGCTTCATCTGTGTCTTGGAAGGATTTGGGTCATGCGTTACAAACACCAAAACCTTCTACACATCCACTGAGTCATTTCAGACTCAGCTACATGTGCAAGGTTATAGAAACTGATTAGCTTCATTAAAATAAAAATTTAAAAATCACAAGGTTGGTCATTTATTCTAGAATAAGGCCTTTCCTTCCCCTCCCACCCCTCCATACTTGGCTTATTCCTTACAGAAAAGGAAAACACCAAAAAACAAGACCCAGGAAGGAGAGGGCACTCACACCAGGCCTTGTTATTGGCTGGAATTTAAAACGAAAGAGAAGAGATGTTTTGGCCAAATCCAGCTCCATGAAGATCTTACAAACACAGCTTTTCACTACTTCTATTTCGTTCCCTTTTCTGGAACTCTCTTTCTCTCCCTTCTCATCCTGGCGTTAGCGTCCCTGTGTCCCCTAGGGCTGGGGAGCTGTGATACCAGCATGTGGCTTTATTAAAACAAAACAACATGAAGACCTTCTCCTTTGCTGTAGCTGCCCAGGAAGGAGAGCATTCTTATTGTGGATTTATGATTTGTTACAACAAATAGTTCAATGGGATTTTTTTCCTTCTAAATCAGGAGCCTACCAATGTTTCAAATCTTTCTAATAATAACCTGAGAAAAACTTATACTGCTGATTTGTGTGTGTGTGGGTGGGTGGGTGGGGTAATGGGACACAATTTTACTTCAAAGTTTGGCAAGACTAGTCAGGAGAAAGCCAAATAGGTAGATAAATTTTAAAATAATTTGGACTAATCTAAGAACTATCTGTAAAAGGGGGATGAGAAATAAAAGACAGGCCCCCAAGCCACTCTCTCACAACCATGTCAAGGGCCAGCTCTGGTTCTGAGCACATTGGCTCAAGGCTCCTAACCCAAATGACCAAAGATTTCAAAGGCATCACTCTTGAATAGCTTAGATCTCTCCTCAATCTACTTGACTGTGAATACTTTAATTTCCCAAACTAAGACATAACATTCTTCAACTCCTAAGAATGCCTTTCTATAGAGAGTACCCTGAATTAGACGTGTAGAATTAGTGCAATAGAAGAGCCAATATAATTTCATATTACTTTACAGATAAACCTTCACACACATCACAGGCCTTGTTTGGAAATGCTCCTATATATTTACAAACACACAGTTGTACATATATACATGTTAACAAAATACAGTGCAATCTAAAAATTAGATTTATCTCAGTACATTTTTTTTTGTTATTCAACCAACCTATACCTCTTAAAAATTACTTCCCCATAATCTAAAGTAACTCCGCACCCACAAATTAATACAGTTTCCATTTGTATTTTTCCCCACAAGGATTTACTTTCCCTTCTTTCTTGATATCTTCCCCCAAACCTTATTCTGGTTTTGCCTCTAATTTAAGCCAAGAGTATGGGCCTCTTTACTCCTGATTGGTCTGTGTCTTGGAGTGTCTCACTCCAGTAGCTGAGATTTTTCAGGAGTCCAGCTCCAACTGCTCTGGATTTTCACTGAGTCTTAACATAAGCTGTTGTTCATAGTAAAGGCTCTTTGCATAATTTATTTCTTGTGATAACTTGACTGCGAGGACCTCGGATTTCACATGGACCTACAGAGGAGAACAGAATGAATAATCTGCCTGTGAGGTGGGGAAACCAAACGGAAGCAGAGTACATGTGGAACTCATCCAGGCAGCAGCTCCCAGCCCGGCTGCATATCAGAATAATAGGTATGCTATTCAAAAGTATAGATTCCCAGGGACCTACTAGTAGTTAATTCTGGTTCAAAAGTCTAGAGCGGATCCCTGGAATCTGTGGTTTTCACACATTCCCCAGGTGACTGTGCAGCCAAACCACAATCACCTGACATTTGGGACCCCCATAGCTGTGAACCAGTTTCAGTTCTGAGGAGATGAAGATTTGCTGAGGGAAGACTAAGAGCAAGAATAAAGGACTGTACCTTTGGGATTCAAATCTAAAGTCCAGTGACTGTCAAAGAAGGAAGAAGAGCCAGCAAGCAAATGCTCGGAGGCCTTTCTTACCAAGAACGCACCGCTGCTCCCCTGCCTGGAAAGGGGCAGTGCGGCTGGGCAAGGCTCCCCACCATGGAAAGGAACTGGTACAAGTACTCACACCTTGGAGTGTTAACTCTCTTAATCAGTCAGCTCTAACATTAGCCAATGACCCCAGGGGAGACTGCACAAGGCAAAACAAACCCAACTGCATTCCTGAGCACGGGGAAGGTCAAAGGACTCATGAGGAGAGAGGCCTCAAAAGGCAGGCTGCTGCTTCTGATCATAGAAAGACCAGAGAGAAGCAGGTCTTCGGAGTGACACATCACTCTTGAATGCAGGTGTGAAGGTCCTGGCATCCCAGGCGAGAACGAGCAAGACCAGCACCTGGGTGTCATGACAAGCCACTGAGTCAGACTGCGCTGGAGATGGTGGGCCTCCTCACACCTGCTCTGCTGTCCTGACAGCCCTTCTGAGCAGAGGCAGCACAGTGAGGGGCTATGGGGTCTAGACAGCTGGCTCTGGAGTCAGACCACCTGGCTTTGAACCCCAACTCCTACCAAGGTCGGCTGTGTAGCCCTGAATGAGTCAACTGCCCTCACCAAGCCTCCTTAACAGTAAAGTGGGGATGATGGCAGGACGACATTGAATAGCCCATTAGAAGCACTTAGGGTACGGCCAGGCACATAGTAAGCCCTTCATCAATGTTAGTCATTAATATAAACTTTATAATTTAAAAGTCCTGCCCTAACAATAGCTCAGACCCTTTAGAGGCAAAGTATAATTTTAATTACAAATATTTATTGAGCATGCTAGATATTGCATCTTTGCAAAGAACTTAAGTTATGGTTTCCACTGTCATAGGAGAGATAATGGAGAAGCCTGTGTGTGCTCTAACACCTTCTTAGATTCAGTGCACCAAAGAGACCCATTTTAGGAATTAAAAAACCCCATGTATCATGTTAGTTGTTCCTCACAACCAACTAGAGTAAGTATTGCTACCTGTGTTATATGGGTGTGTGACTGAGGCCCAACTGTGGAGCAACTTGCCCAGGGTCATTAGTGGGCTAGCTGGGAGGGCAGTGCCACCCCAGTTAACATGCAGTGGCTCCTTCTATGTCCAAGACTAAGCAGCAGCACCCCAGGATTAATAACAGCCCAGCCCGCACCTTCAAAATGAGTTCTTGCTGGAAAGAGGTAAGCAGGGCGGAGGAGTTCCGAGAAGACAGCGGGCACGACTCACCATCGGCTTCTGGTGGGAAGGGCCTGGGATGGACACTCCGCTACTCGTGTTCACTGCTTTTTTGGTCACCTGCACGTACACCTTCCCATGGTCTTTGGAGACAAGGCAGTGGTAGAGATCATCGTACTTCACTTGGAGGAAAATGGCCTCTCGATCTACATAGTCTCCACTTTTCAGGAAGTAAACAGCTTTGGAGGAGATGAGCACACAGTAGCTGTCAATGTTCTCCACGGCTATGAAGCTGCAGAGGAAGACAAGCAAACGGTAACGACACCCAGCGCTTCTCAACAGCCGGCGCCCAGGTTAGTCCTTGGTACTAAGCCAGCAGAAAGGGGGGTGGGTGCCCCTGTGGGTGCTGGGGTCTGATGGCCTGAGCTTGGATCCAGGCTCCCTCACCTACTACACCGTGGGCAGGTGGCTGAATCACTCTGAGCCTCCAGTTCCTTATTTGTAAACCAGAAATAAAAGTGACCCTGGCCTCACAGGGCACTCAATACATGTTACCTAGTGATAACAACACATTGTTCCAACAACAGAAACAATTTTATACTCTGAAATTGTATTTTGTAACATAAGGCTTTTAAATGTTAAGCTGAAGCAGCAGCTGAGAAAGTTCGCTGCCTATCATGGTGGGGGGTAAACACCAGCGGGCTAGAAGATGCGGTGGGGAGGGAGGGGTGTGATGAGTACTGAAGGCAAAAAGCAGAATCGAACAGGCTCGCCACACCACACGACACAAGGAGACGGCCCACCGTCACAGCGTCTGAGCCCCTGCGTCCGCTTCCTGCCTCTCACGGCTCTCAGAAGAGGCCACTCAGTCTCTGCACAACACCACCAGTGACGGGGAACCTGTGAGGCCACTCTATGTTCAGAAACCTCTAATAGTTACAAAACGTTTTCTTAGGTAAAGCTGTAATCTTCACTTTCCAAACTTTTAGTCATTACTTCTAGAAGTTTTAGGGCCACTCAGAAAAAAATTGAATTCTTCTTCCACAAAGCTCATAGATTTAAAGTGGAAATTTATGCACGTCAAACTCTCTGTTCAGCTGTTGAATGAAGAGCAGTGAACCCTGGAAGCCACTGCGACAGCTCCCCCAGCCTGGCTGCCTCCCCGCATCTTGTGACAGCCTTTCACAATGGGGCTGCGGGGTCAGGGGACAGCAAAAGAGAACAGATGACGGCAAGAATACTAAGAGCTGACAACAGATTGACTGTCGAGCTCCAGTTTCCAAAAACTAGCTGTTCAGAGCCAAGGCTCCACCTGGAAACATTCTGGAACCTGGGTCCAGGACAGATTTGTTCCCAGGTCAGCAGGTGCAAAATCCTCCAAGGGGAGGCTGAAGCTGTGGGCAGGAGGTGGCCAGCCACTGGCCTCGCTCACCTCTGGGCTTTGAGAGCCTCCCATGAGGAACACACACACACCTTGCTCTCTCAACCTCTCTAAATCCTCCCCAGCCTGAGGATGCACAAGTTCCAACTTCTCCATGAAGTGTCCTCTAAATACCCCACCCATCCCCCACTTTTGAACACTTAATTGCATTGACACCCCGCCTCGCAAAGCGCTGCCAAACACTGATTTGTTCTTTTTTATGCTGCCTGGATAACTATCTCAGCTCTCTAAGCTGTAAGCACCCTAAGAGTGGGGTCCGTAACTTCGCGCCCATGTGTCCCTGAGCACCCAACCACTGAGTTGGCCACCTTGCAAGTACTCAGTATCTGCCCTGTTCCGGTTGCCATTTTAATCACAGCTTCCCATGACAAAAATTGGGGGTTTATTGTTCTATTCTAACTGGTTGGCAATGCCAAGAATGTAAACTTGTAAAGTCTCAGTGCCAAAATTAGAAAAACCCAGCAGCTTTGAGTGTTCAGGCCACTTAGCACAGACTCTCCTCCCCCATTCTGACAGTATCAGGGGCAGCATCCTTGCTGAATCAAATCCGGGGCAGCGTCCTTGCTGAATCAACTGGAATGGAATCTAAAATAGCCGGTCCAGGGGAAGAAAGGAGGACACGGAGTGACAGAAAGACAGACAGGAAGAGATGAAAAGGCATCCCGACACAGAGAGGAAGCAGCAGGGCACCAGCTAGAGCTTGCTGGGAAACAAGCTTTTCAACCTGAAAAGGGCCAACGCTCCTCAGCACAGGTGGGTCAGGTGCATGCCACTGGGGCTGTAATGACTCTCAAAGGACGCTCCAAAAGTTGGCGCTGCAATTGGGGTGAGAGCAGGAATGTGTACTGAAGTTCCAACTGAGATCTGACTTCCTTTCCTCTTGTCCAGCACAGGACAGGACGCTTCCATCCCATCACCCTGGCCTGCTGCCCCTACCCCACTCAGCACCTCCACAGCAGACTTTACACACAGCCTGGAGAGAGGGCCAAGGGCTTTCCATCTGGGCAGCTGCTCTGTCACCCAAGCCAGAGTGGCAGACATTATCAGTGCACTTTCCATACTACAACCCTTTCACAGGCTTTAGAATAGACCCCCTTCCAAGATGCCACAGATGGCCCAAGTCCTCCATCAGGCCACAAAGACTTCTGCAGGAAGGGCAGTTCTGAGCTGGGACGCTCCCCTAAAGGAAACAGGGGCCAGCAGGGTGGTGATGAGCCCGACAAGCAGGGTGACTCTGGCCAAGTCGGCTGCTTTCTTTATGGCTCACTTTCTTCATCACTCTGATAGAGATGATAATACCTGCCATCTTCCTTCACAAAGAATGCACGGCCCAACAGACATGGAGGCGGAGGGAGCAGCTCTGTAAATCTGCACAGACCTCTATTCTGTAAGTCCAGGGGGCCCCATTCATTCCCTGAAGCTGCTACTGATATAATAATATTTTGTGGACATGTGTAAAATATTCTGAGTCTTTTCAAATCAAAAGCAGATCAGGGTACGTCCGAGAGAGGGAGAAAAGGAGACGGTGAGACCAGCTCTGTCTCTCTGCCTTCTCCTGGCACTTCCCCAGCAACCCCCCTGCAAGCGGCCAAGGCTTTGGGTTTCATCATCATCATCATCAATTTTATTTTTTAACAAAATCTGGAAAAAACACCAAAGAATAATTAGAATAGCTGCACACAAGTCCCCTTGTCTAATGGAGACTGATCCTAAACTTGTCACTCTGTGAGAGTGGAGTCCAGACTCTGGGTGACGAGAGAAGCAGAGCAGGCCCAGCTCTTCCCCTCTGCTACTCGCTCCCTCCTCTGCCCACTTTCTCCTCTAAGCCACTGGCCCCTTCCCTTACTTCCTGCCCCCCACCTGCAGAAAGCCAGTTCTCCACGTGAGAGGCCCACAAGTGCAGCTGAGTGCACGCTGCCCACACGGGCTTTCCACTTGCCCCCTCCCCAGCCGAGCTTCACATGAGGACTGGCCCACAAACAAGTGACCACTGGAAAACCTCGTGACACCGAGGGAGAAGCCACGGTAGTCTCAGGTGGATCCTGAGTACACTCATTCTGCTTTGTTTTTGTTTTTAAATCTATTATTAACTCAGAGGGAGGGAGAATGAAAAAATGTAGTCAGAAGCACAAAGCATCTGGATAAACTGTATCCCTCACATATGAGAATGAGAGAAGTCACCCTGGTGTTCTGCTGACACATTTTAGGTTGCTGAGGATACTATAACCGATTCTATTTTTAAAAAACAGTATTTTTTTATACAACTTTTTAACTTCAGTTAGTAACACTTTTAACTCTCCTTGAAGAAAAAAAGTGTCTGGCTTTAGGGTCAGTGGCAGAAAGTATCTTTTCAGGAAAAGGAAGGCTGCGGAGTACAGCTCACGTCCTTCTCTGGAACGACAGGCACTAACAGTGGCCGAATCTGGGAAGATTCAGTGGCACAGAAGTAGAACCCACTGTTACTAACAATATCCATAAACCACAAACAGAGTGTTCACAACAGCACCAGCGGCATTATCAACAACTTCAGTCCTCTCCCTCGGTGGCAGGAAATAACATCTCCAAGTCACACAGCAGAGTTGTCACTGGAGCCAACCGCCCTGGTGACAAGTCGCCTCCGCCTCTCACCAGCCAGACAAGCCATGAGCTCTTCTGCCCCAGGCCAGCCAGATGGGCTCAGCGCAGAGCTTCCCTGTCCTGATCTGAGGAACAAGGACCATCGTGTCCACTCTGCAGGGCCGCAATGATGATTGGAACTAATTCATGTGCCTAAATGCAGAAGAGATCCTCACTCAATGGGGGCTCTTATCATTTCTCTCTTCTGTTGAGAACAGGTGCCAAGTTATCCTGACCCTGTGGGGATGACCTCCCTGCAAATCTACACATCCTCTCATCAGCAGGCTGGAGAAATGGATGTCCCTCTAATAGGCCACGTGGGAAACAGGTTCAGGACCAATTTCTGCTCAGGGAGAGAAATCTGCCACGTAACTGTTCCAATCACCCTATTTGGTTTCTTTCTCTCCCATTCTCTTATTTTTTGCCTTATAAACTGTATATATTTTATTCATACTCCTTTTGGAATCATCTTAAAATCAGAAAAGTTCTGAGTCGCCTTACTGCAGGAGCGCTCCCAGAATATGCTCCTGCATCCCCAGGCATGAGCTCCACCAGGTCCCGTGTCTGCTGAATCTGTGTCTGAGCCCATGCCACTCTGAGTGCCAGACTCTCTGCAGAACATCTCCACACACATGTTGTACAAGTGCTGCACACTCAGTATGTCTACAGCTGAGCTCCTTTCTTTTCTATCTCTCTACTCCTTTGGCACCGCCGACCTCACTTAGTGGCGTCCCCATCGACCAAACAGGCAAGAACCCGGGAGCCACTCTCAACCCCTCCTCCTCATTCAGGGTCCAGGTGTAGCCAGTTCACTGACTGCACTGATGCTACCTCTTAAATACCCCTCAACTCTGTGCCCTTCTACTTACCTTTCCTGCCACTGTGTGTTCTGGCGTGTCCACCTTTTACCTGGATTGCTCCAAGGGCCTCCTAACTGGCTTCCTGCCTCTAGTCTCCAGCTGATCTATTGCTCTATTGCTGTCAAGGTAACATTTTTAACATGCAATTTTGAGTGGGATCCTCTTCTTCAAAATCTCACCACTGCCTACAGGAGAGGTAAGCTCCTTAGCAGGACCATTAAGGTTGGGCCTTCAGAACCCGGCCTGTGGAACCCACCCTTCCAGTTCTACAACTCTGTTCCTTCCGTCCTACACATGTGCTGCTGCCACACTTGGCTGATCTGAATTCTCCGGACAAGCCATGAGCTCTTCTGCCCCAAGCCTTGCCCACACTGTTCTCTGCATACTTGCCTTTCTCCCTTCTCTCCTTGGCACCTTCCTCCTCCTGAAAGGCCAGGTCAATTGTCCACAGCCTTCTCTGCAAAGCCTTCCCTGGCATCCAGGCACAAATCAATCACCTCCCCTCTGTAGTCTCATAACACATTGCTCATACTTCTATTTTTTTTTTTCCTTTTTTGTCTTTTTTACTGACCGGTAATGGGATCGCAACCCTCGGTGTCGCGCCAGTACCGGGGACCGGCAACGGGATCGCAACACTCGGTGTTGCGCCCGCACCGCGCTCAACCAGTGAGCGGGAACCGGTCTCCACATGGGATCCGAACCCTCGGCAGGAGCACCGCCGCGTTCCCAAGCGGCGCACTCTCCAGTGCGCCACCCAGCCGGCCCAACTCATACTTCTATTTTAACAGCACTCACATGCTATAGGTAGTTGGTAATCTTCTTCTGCTAGACTGGGAACTTGTTGAGGACAGAGCAATTTTCTTACTCATCCTGGCACATAAGAGGATTCAATAAATTTATGTATTAGGGAGTTTCAGAAAATGACAATGAAATTACATTGTAAGGTCCGATGAAATCTGCCAGCGCACATGCAACTTTGGATGCTGGACATATTTTACCCAGTATTAAAGTTAAAGAATTCCCTCAGAACTCTTCATTTAACTTATTAAAGATTTAGCAAGCCATCAACTTTTATCAGAGTAGCTGGATAATCTGCCAAGTTAAAGTTTTAATTCAGTGGCATATCAAAGAATGTCCAATTTCCTAGGTGTCAATAGTTATTGATAGGTTATTTCCTGGTTTAGAAAATGGAAACTAATGAATTCTACCCCATTCCTCAAAGGACTGGTCTTTTGTTTTTATTTTGAGACTGTATACATTATTATAATGTTTACATTTGTAATTATATGCTATTAGAATCAATATTATAGCCTGTGCTCAAAAAAAAAAAAAAATTCCGTTTCTATCTATTTCTCTATGCAATTTCTCAAGAATAGACAAGATACAAAATACCATAGATAGTATGTTTACAAAAGGGGGCAAGAAAGGAGACTTTTGACTTTATTTCTGTTTGCAGTCTTTTGAATTTGCTAACTATGTGCATGAGTTTATTTCACTAAAAAGAGAAAGAAGGGCCGGCCCGTGGCTCACTTGGGAGAGTGCGGTGCTGACAACACCAAGGCCAAGGGTTCGGATCCTATATAGGGATGGCTGGTTAGCTCACTTGGGAGAGTGTGGTGCTGACAACACCAAGTCAAGGGTTAAGATCCCCTTACCGGTCATCTTTAAAAAAAAAAGAGAAAGGACTTATCTGGATGGTAAATTTATAGGCTATTTTTGTTTTCTTTTTAAATTCTTTTCTGTATTTAAAAAACCCTCTAATTTTACTTTCTAAAACTACATTTTAAAAATACAGTCTGGGCTGGCCAGTTAGCTTAGTTGGTTAGAGCACAGCCTTATAATACCAAGGTAACAGGTTCAGATCCCTGTACAGGCCAGCTGCCCCCCCCCCATAAAAAAGACAGCAATAAAAATACAATCTAGCTGTCAAACTATAGAAAACAGCACATAGAGCAACATCTCAGGTCACATGGGTTGCTCCTGAGCACCATTTTTGAAAAGATAAGAGCCACCCTAGTGCTTACAATCCTAGAATGTCCCTTTGTCTAGGATGAAGTATTATAGAAACAAAATAGGTACTTTTTTTTTTTTTTAATGAAAATGAGGTTTCTGGCTATCGATTAGAAAGAAAAATTAATTTAATCATACGGGGTAAATTTTATCATCATCTTAACCCAGGATTCTGTTTCAAGACCAAAATTGAGAAAAATGGGAAGGAATATAATTCTGCAACATACCAGAGAAACATTTGATGAATTTGAAACTGAAGCCTTTCAGGGGGCCAGACCTTAAATCATAAGTCAGTAACTATCTTTTTAATACTATTTAATTAAATAAAATGAAAAAATTAAACGCAACTTGATCTGGGAGAACAAAGTTGAAGTCACCACAGTATTGGGGACTTTGTGGGGTTTTCACTCCATAGGGAAATAATTACACAATATTTTCCAGAAGTGAAACAGTAAGTCTAACTGGAAAAAAATGTGGAAACATTTAGTTAAACAGTAGAGCAAGGTATTAAAGACCCTTTTAAGGGGTTAACTCTGAAGGGAAATATGCAAATAATTAGGTCTTTAAACATGTTTTTAATTACAAATCTAGGATAAAAGTCAGAAGTATAATTTGGTGCTCGTGTGCTTTTCCTGAAAACCTCTTTCTTGCAAAATGATGACTGAATGTTCATGTCACCATGAAGACCCAGGATGACAACTGAGGATGCTTCAGAAAATCATTTGCCAGATTCCTGGATGACTTCTTCCTTGTATGCTGAGGAAGGCCATGGTCACGTGCCTCCAACATTCACTGAAAGATTTAACCCACAACTCAGGTGGAGACACATGGTTTTCATCTTCAGAGTCAAAATTCATTCATGCTATTATCTTCTCCCACTCCACCAAATTTTAAGAGTTTTGTAAAATCTATTTTACTGATTTCGTTTTGTTTCCAGTTTTCAGCTCCTCTGGCTCTGTTTTCTATGTTTCCTATGCTGGCATCCTACACAACTTCTCTCTTGTGTTTTCTGGCACATGTCATTCTAATGCACATGTATTTCGTAAGAACCTGAGATGGTCTGACTTGCATAGAGATGAGTTGGGGGTCAGGGAAGGGCAGTAGGGGATTAAAACTACAACATACAATAATTTACAATCTCACTTAACCTTTGACCAAAAAAACTCCCAAAAGATTGAAAAGTGGACATATATTAATACATATGCTAAACTGCAGCTATCCAGATGTACTACTGAGTACCTATTATATGCTAGACACTCTTCTAGGTGCTGGAGGATTCTTCAGTGAATCCTGATCCTCACAGGACTGCCATTCTAGCAGAATTGCATCATGCTCTTCTAGACCTGAGAAATGGCTCTCTGGACCTCCGATCCAAAGGCCAAAATTTCCATCAGCAAAGTGGTACAAAGGTCAGCCATGGCAGCAAATCCCCACCACAAGGCAGAGGGGAATAGGAAGTCCTCCCTGGAGTGAAGCCATAGGTCATTCTGGGTATCAAGAGTAATGACAACAGCTGAGGCTAGAATAAAATGACATATGCCATGAACTGAATTATGCCCTCCCCAAACCCAAAATTCATAAGTTAAAGTCCTAACCCCCAAAATGTGACTATTTGGAATAAGAAAGTAATTAAGGTTAAATGAGGTCATAGGGTTGGCGCCCTGATCCAGCAGGATTAATGCCCTTACAAAAGACAGCAGAGAGCCCCCTTTTCCTAACCCCCAAAATGTGACTATTTGGAATAAGAAAGTAATTAAGGTTAAATGAGGTCATAAGGTTGGCGCCCTGATCCAGCAGGATTAATGCCCTTACAAAAGACAGCAGAGAGCCCCCTTTCTCTGCCATGTGAGGACACGGTGAGATGGTACCATCTACAAGCCACGAAGAGGGCCTCACCAGGAACAGAATGAGATGGCTCCTTGATCATGGACTTCCCAGCCTCCAGAACTGTGAGAACATAAATCTCTGTTGTTTAAGCCACCCAGTCTGTAGTATTTTGTTATGGCAACCGGAGCAGTCTAAGATAATGAAATACACCTCCATTATGAAGAGAGCTTCCAATAGCCCCACGGAGGGTTTGGGTTTACAAAATGCATCTGATAAGATGGAATCCTATCCAGCAAGTAATAAACAAATTCTGGATTCAATTTTTTATATTCCCATTCAAACACTGCTACAAAAATATGTCTCTAACAATGACCTTGAAGGCTATCCTGAGAGTTGACCTCTATCTACTTCAGACATTCCTCCACCAACCAAAAAACAACCACAGTTCCCACAACCCTCCCTAGCTTCCTTTACCTTAAAGGAGACAAATAAGAATTAAAAGAAATTAAACTAGCATTTTGCTGTTTACCAGACATAACTAACTGATTTCTCTGTGCTGGTAATTCTAACACCTACTCAGGTTATAGAGCACTTTATGCTATAAGCATCTTTGCAGAATATACTAGCATAGTGATATATTTCACTCTACCATATCGACTAGGAATAATTTCACTAACTGAAAATATGACAAGATCCCAGGTACATAAGGCTTTGTATTTAAAGAGTAAACAAAACAATCTTAAGAAAATTGCATTCCCAAAATGTTCAACTATTAGTTGTTTGATATTTATCTGCAGCAAACAACAGGACATCAAAGTTTAAAAAAATTTTACAGCCTTAAAATTGAGAACATTTTATCCATTACCTTCTCTGAACTAATTGGAAAGAAACTGTCATTTTCTAGAAACAAAACACTATGGAACACAGTTTGAGAACCACTTCTTCAAGTAAAAGGCTGTTTACAAGTAGTTATATCTAAAGCTAAAAACCATTAAGAACAAGGAATCCTTTCACCAGTTCCGAGGTCTGAGAGCCGTGATGATTCTCAGATCAGATGGAAACTTCTCAGACTCAAAAGACAGAAAAACAATCCAGTGGCCCAACAGGGCTGGTTTCCCATGGCTCTGACTTACAATTCGTCTTGTATGTTGTCTGTTAGCTTGAAGAGCTGCTCCTGTCCTTCTGCCTGGCTCTCAGAATAGCGAGGAAGCAGTCCCTGGGGCCCTGTGCAGACACGGGGTTTCCGAACCCTCTGGGCTTGAGTCCTAGATGGGTAAATGGACAAAAAGCAAAGAGGTCAAGTGTTAAGGTTAAACTGATTTTCCTTCTTCTCCCTAAGATAAAGCACTACTCAATACAAGACATACTCTAAATTTAGTGAACAAAATTAAACCACAGTATTGGCCGTGAATGCACTATAAGTTAGTGGGTACAGACTCCCATTATGAATTTGAATCCTGCCTCTACCATTTTCTATTTATGTGATCACAGGTAAATTAGTTACTCAGGGTGATGATACCTACCTCACAGGACTGTAGTGAGGATCACGTGAAATATTGCCCATCACACTGTGCTTGGCAGAATGTGGGCTTCTCACTAATGCTGGCTGTCGTTATTGCTATTATTACTAGGCTTCCACTTGGTCACCCCTTATTTTTCTAGGAATCTTTAGGGGAGACATCTTTGGACTTGCAATGAGACCTTGGGCATTTAGTAAGGGATCTTGGGCATTCAGTAAGAACACACCAAACTTCTACATGACTTCTAAGATGAACTCAGTTGCTTGGGTGGGTACAGGGTGAGGGATGGAATCATCATATGAGGGGAAGAATGGCTCCATGGACTGGTCCGAGGCCACAGTCTGGGATTCTGCAGTGGCTCTAACTCATGCCACTCAGCTGTTGGTTGCTCAAAGGAATTTGCTTTGCTATGGCTTTCAGGGTAGGCTGATGTTGTTTTTTTCCACAAACCATACACAGGGCAATTGATAAGTACTTTTTGGTGTTTTCCTAGAAACAGGAGTCCATATTTGTCTTGGAAAGGCTGTGCATATTTCAGATGACTGATAAGAGTGTACTCGATTTGTCCTCGGCCTTGTACTTGCTGTTCTTTTTATTATTTGTTCCTGGAGCCTACTGAAGCAAAACACCCCTCTCTAGACATAGCTAACAGAGAGGAATAAGCTTATGTACTGAAGCAGCATGACAGGACTGTGTTCTAAGAGTAGTGTAGAGACTTACTAACAAGGGCAAAAAGTGCCCTGGTGGTCAAATAGAGGTAGAAATATGGACAGAAACAGAAACTTGCCACAGGCCATGCCCTAGGTTAGCTGCAGAGCTGGGATCACTGTAAAGTGTTATTGATCCCAGATCAACACTCAGTTCATCAGGCCATGCAAGTCTGAAGGACAGCCCCACATCCGGGTTCTGACTCCCTTGCCAATCTTCCCCAATCTGTTTGGGAGGCCTGTAGGCTCAACTTCAACATCTATCCCAAATCTAACTATTTTTCCATCTCTATTGTAACTAACAAATGATCTCTGGATTTGTGATGTATTATTGCAGTACCTCATAACTTCTACTTCCATCCTTTTCTATTATCCTCACAGCAACAAGAATGGCCCTTTCAAAATATGTTAGATCAAGCCAGTCATCTGTTCAACAAATTTTGTTCACATCTCACTTGGACAAATATATTTACTTATTGTTTGGCTCCCCAACTGGGATATAAGAGGAATTTTGTTCCACTTACTGCTATCCCAGGATCTAGAAAAGTGCCTGGTTTATGGTAGAGGAGCAATAAGAATTAGTTGAATATACTAGTGAATGCATTTGTGAGTGGGGGATAGTAAAAGGACCATTTATTAAAAATGCTAAAAAGGGAAGGTGATATGCAAACTTTGGTGGAGAGTTTGAAGACTAAAGACTTTGAGCTTTGAAAGCCAATAATCAACATTAAGGCTAAATGTGAACCAGCTGGCATCTCAGGTTCCTAAAAGAAAGGCCAAGGGTGTCCTAGTCCACTGATCACACAAAGGGGGGGCATGGATGCAATGACAGGAAATCAACACCTCGGTTGACACATCTTTTTCCTTGCAAGAAATAATCTCTCGATTAGTACCCAAAGCTGAGGAAAAATATGCTACCAAGTAGGAGAAAACTTACTGAGAGTCCTAAATTCCTCTGGTGAGATCCAAGGAACCCAGAGAAGCCAAGGAAAGGTGGCTAGTTTCTGGATCTAAACTCTTGGAAATCACATCTCATAACATCTACGGAATAGTCGAGAGTGTAAATAAATGTGCCCCATATTATCACATTATCAAATAGCTTTCTAGTGCAAATAGTTATTTCTTGACTCAGTGGCCACTCTCAGGGCCTTCCCCAAATTTCAGTGATCCAATCTCACCTCCACTTCTAATACATTATCTTCTAACTTGCAAACTACAAACACACTGATCAGAGAATGCAAAAGCAGACTAGCTCCCTTGTGGGTATACACTGCCAGTTTTTTCTTTTCTTATCTGTCTTCCCAATGGGCTGCAAACTACTTTCTCACTTCCAAGGTCCTCACTTTGTGATCAACCAAATATAGAGGGAAAGTTTGGGTACAGTGTTCAATACTGCTGACACGAAAAGCTCATTGTGGCATTCAAGGCTCATTTCTTACATCAACATAGAGGAAGAGAGAGTTAAGTTTTACAGCAAGGAAACACAGTCCTCCATTACAGCCTTATAAATAGAGGGACTACTTCCAGAAGGGGTGATTTAGACAAAGTCTTAACCAGAAGCAGAAAGTTGGACTAAAGGAATTCTTCCCACATTCCCCTATTACCTTATCATTGTCAGTACCTGAAAAACTATTATTTCTTCTCCTAAAGTCAACTAAAATCTTATCTTCTCAGGTCCAAGTCAGCAGGCTGTGATGGAAGGATAGAGGATGGTACTTAAAGTCACAGTGTGTGAACAAATTTAGTACAAACTTAATCAGAGAATTATAAAAAACAACGATAAGTTAGTGTTTTCAAACCCCGTGCGCCAGCAAAAAGTTTAAAGTGATTTTCTTCAGTGCAGGCCACTGTGTGATAGAGTTATTTCCTTCACATATTGATGTGGCACTATAAATTCAAATAACCCTTTGAAACTAGCATGACTGTCCGTAACGGCAATCCTAAATTTATGTTCATGCTCTGTGACTTAGCAGTATACAGTGTCCATTTTTAAGTGATTGTTCTTAAGTCACTTTCATGTACGAGTATGTTCCAGTGAGCCTATGAGCATCTGGAGAGAAAGGATTCTATTCCCATTATTTTTTAACTGGACTTTAGGACTAGATGCTGTATTGTCCTCAGTTCAGGGCCCAATATGGTCATTGGCCTTTATGTATTTATTTGAAATAATATAAGCATCTGTGGAACTACCATGCCCATCACAAAAACTCCATCATTGACCGTAACTACAATCTATGTGTAGTCTTCTGCCAGCCCAACCCCCGATTCCTCCTCTACCTAAGAGAGCCACTATTCTGAATCTCATGTTTATCATTCTCATGCTATTCTTTTTTTTATGTGGTCTTATCACATTTCAAAGTATGCTCTGATACATTCTTATTATATTCTTTGGTTTTAGTTATTTTGGGCTTTTCAAAAAGGATGTTACTGTCACACTGCTAAGACTCAGCCATTGTTTTTGTGTGCAGCGATAATTCATCTATGGTACCTGCCTTATTAATATCCTATTGTATGACTACTCTATAATTTATCCATCTTCCCATTGATGGCATGTGGATTATTTCCAGGTTTTGCTATTACAAATGATGCACTATAAACATTCCTGTGTATGTCTCCTGGTGAACTTTGGGTACATATCTAGAAGATATTTGCTGGATCACAGGGTATAAATGTTCACCTAACAAGATAATTCAAACTGTTTTTAAAGTGGCTGAACCATTTTTACACTCCTACCAACAGTGAGTACATTTAAGAGATCCCAGCAATCTACCTCCTTTCCAATGCTTGGTATTGTCAAGACAACACTATTTAATACATACCAATTGGCCAGTGTGGCTACTTAGCACTTGAAATGCGGCCAGTGTAACTAAAGGACTGAATTTTAAATTTAACTTAATTTAAATTTAAACTGCATCTTTGACAGCACTAGTCTAGACTATCAAATCTTTGCAGTTTGATGGGTACAAAATGGCATCTATTGTTTGCTGATTTCCATCTTCTCCTTCCAGCCTAAAGGATGTGATCGTGTCTAGTAACAAAAGTGGAGTAGCTGTGGACCTGCCATTGGCTGCTAAAGCGTAAAGATCAACATCTAAGCTACTCTGGCCACCAGTGCTGTACCAGCCTTCAGCCTCGCCTAGCGGCTTTTCTCCTTCCCTCGTGACCACCTCCGTTGTTAAGACGTGCTACTATTTGGCCAGGGTCTTGGTACTACAGTCCTGAGAAAAATGGATCATTAAACAAGAGCTGGCAAAACCCCACCCACTCACCTCTCATTAGTTGATAGCGTCTCTTACCAACCAACACTCAACATAAAAGATAGTTTACAGGAGTCAGTTCAGTGCATATGCAGCAACTCTGCTTCCATAAACCTTTGTTTAGCCAGAGGTCTGTGGTATATTTAATTGTTGCCAGTTGGGGGGTTGTCGGCCATCTTAAGCCCTCAGCTGCTGCATTTTATAAATTTCACAGTGTATAGAAAGAAGCAGTCCTTCCAGTCAACCAGCTAATCCAAAATGTCAGCACCAAACGAACTTGAGCTTTGAACTCCATGAAAATGTCAGGGAGTCAGCTGCATAGCATGGATGACTCTTCCCCCAGAGAGGGGCTGCTGATTCAGTGGCTGATCCACAGCAGATATCCACCCAGTGAGAGGGATCAATACAGAGTAAGTCTGCATCTGGCCACTACTATCTGACATACACTGGGGGCCCCCAAACCTCAGATCAGAGTAATGAAAACAGTTCCTGTCATTTTCTTTAAGCAACAATAAATCCAAACAAGGTGACACAGGGAGATCTAACCAATTCCACTTGCTTGACCTTGCCTTTCAGTCTAAGGGTCAACAGTTGGCCAGCCATTATTTGTTCTTAGCTTATACGATGAGTAACTATGTCATAGTTCTATTAGTTGAAGACAGATGTTGTGCACACAAGCACATACAGCTTAAGTTATTAGTTGGCTGAGAAGTCTGTCATGACCAATGTCTATCAACCAAATGATGTTCAAAAACAACCAGTAAATGAACAGAAAGTGAGT